TCAGACAGAGACTGTGTCACCTAGGCTAGAGTGCAGTGTTTTTTTTTTTTTTTTTTTCAGACAGAGACTGTGTCACCTAGGCTAGAGTGCAGTGGCATGATCTCAGCTCACTCAACCTCCGCTTCCCAGCTTCAAGTGATTTGATTCTCCTACCTTAGCCTCCCAAGTAGCTTGAACTACAGGCACCCGCCACCACTCCCAGCTAATTTTTGTATTTTCAGTAGAGGCGGGGTTTCACCATGTTGGCCAGGCTGGTCTCAAGCTCCTGACGTTAGGTGATCCACCTGCCTCAGCCTCCCAAGGTGCTGGGATTACAGTCGTGAATCACTGCACCCAGCCTCCCTTGGCCAAATTTATATATTAAAGTTCTAGCCCCAAGTAGGACCTCGCTCTGTTGCCCAGGCTGAAGTGCAGTGGTGCAATCTCAGTTCACTGCAACCTCCGCCTCCCGGGTTCAAGTCATCCTCGCGCCTCAGTCTCCTGAGTGGTTGGATGACAGGAACCCACCACCACACATGGCTAATTTTTTGTATGTTTTGTAGAGACAGGGTTTCACCATATTGACCAGCTGGTCTTGAACTCCTGATCTCAAGTGATCCGCACCTGCCTTGGTCTCTCAAAGTGCTGGAACTACAGGCGTGAGCCACCACGCCCAGCCCTGGTCAGTCTTAAGGTCTGTGTTGATATTAACACTGGTCAGCTGTGCCTGAATTACAATGGGAGGAGGTTATAATGAGGCATGTCCAGCCATCCTGTCCCATCCTGGCCTGAACTAGTGTCTCAGGTTTACTTTAGAATGCCCTTGGCCTAGAGGAAGGGTCTATTCAGTTACTTGGGGGACTTAGAATTTTATGTGTGGTTTACAGTAAGATCATTACAGATGTGGCTGCGGATGTGGCCAACGGTGGCTCACGCCTGTAATCCGAGGCAGGTGGATCACAAGGTCAGGAGTTCGAGACCAACCTGGCCAATATGGTGACACCCCGTCTCTACTAAAAATACAAAAGTTAGCGGGGTGTGGTGGCAGGCACCTGTAGTCCCAGCTACTCAGGAGGCAGAGGCAAGAGAACTGCTTGAACCCAAGAGGCGGAGGCTGCCACGAGCCGAGATTGCACGATTGCACGCATTCCAGCCTGGGCGACAGAACGAGACTCAGCCTCAAAAAGAAAAAAAAAATTATTGCAGATGTAATTGGTTAAGTCAAGGTTATACTGGAGTAAGGTGAGTTGTGTCCCTGATCCATTATGATGGGTAACCACACAGGCACCCAAGAAGGAAAGGCCATGAGATGGCAGCGCAGAGATGAACTCTCAGCCTGCAGAACTGAGAGGGAACGGCCTGGGCTCGGTGGCTCACGCCTGTAATCCCAGCACTTTGGGAGGTCAAGGCAGGTGGCTCACCTGAGGAGTTCAGCTGACCAAAATGGTCAAACCACATCTCTACTGAAAATACAAAAATTAGCCGTGTGTGGCGATGGGTGCCTGTAATCCCAGCTACTTGGGAGGCTGAGGCGGGAGAATCGCTTGCATGGAAGGTGAAAGGTGCAGTGAGCCGAGATCGCTGCAGCCTGGGAGACCGAGTGGGACCGTATCTCAAAGAAACAAACAACTAGGAATGAGTTTCTTTTGCTTCAAGGGACCCAGTTGTGTTTCCTTCTTAGAGCAACCCAGGAAACACTTACAGCGTCTAATGCGTATTAATTGAATGCATCGTACGAACACGGAGCAAAAAGAGAGAGCCATGGCCTAGCGGGAAAGCAGCTCAGAGACCAAACGTTGCAGTGCCCTTGGCACAGGGCCAGTGGTCCTGGAGATTATTTCATGGACATTGTCTCAGGAAGTAGAATTCTGAAAATCCTTTCATTGATTCCACAATATGGTCATGGCTCACTTAACAATAGGGTTGTGTTCTGAGAAATGTGAGGCAATTTTATGAACATCATAAGGTGTATTTACACAAGCTTAGATGCTGTGTGTGTATGTATGTGTGTACATATATATATATATATTTATTTTTGAGGCAGAGCCTCGCTCTGTCACCCAGGCTGAAGTGCAGTGGCACAGTCACAGCTCGCTTTATGCTTGGCTGATTTTTCTTTATTCTTAGTAGAGATAAGGTCTCGCTAGATTACCCAGGCTGGACTTGAACTCCTGAGCTCAAGTGATCCTTCCACCTTGCCTTCCCACAGTGCTGGGACTATAGGCGTGAGCCACCACGCGCAGCCATGGCTGTGCTTCCTCTGGTGTATGACGGTTGCTTCCTGACCTTTGTGTTGAGATGTTATACATTAATCAGACTCCGTGTTCTGCATTCAAACCTAGCCTAAATGACATTGGAGACAGACCTGTGTGATTGTTACCTCTTTACAGTAGAAGATTGAGAAATACCCTTAGTAGTCAACAGTTGTGCTGGAGACCAGCCTGGCCAATATGGTCAAACCCCATCTCTACTAAAAATACAACAAAATCAGCTGGGTGTGATGGCGCATGCCTGTAGTCCCAGCTACTCGGGAGGCCAAGGCAGGAGAATTGCTTGAACCTGGGAGGCGGAGGTTGGAGTGAGCCAAGATCGTGCCACTGCACTCCAACCTGGGCAACAAGAGCAAAAACCCATCTCAGAAAACAAATTAATGAACTAATTATTGCAAATAGGCCAGGCATGATGGTTCATATCTGTAATTTCACCACTTTTGGAGGCTGAAGCAGGAGGATCGCTTTGAGCTCAGGAATTCGAGGCCAGCCTGGGCAACATAGTGAGACCCCATCTCTACAAAAAAATTCCAAATTAGCTGGGTGTGGTGGCGGGCACATGTAGTCCCAGCTGCTCAGGAGGCCGAGGCAGGAGAATCACTTGAGCCTGGGAGGTGGAGGTGCAGTGAGCACATAAATTGCATGCAAATTGGCAAATTCTACCACATAGGGTGTTTTTTTTCTCCAGAGAACTTGCTGGTAAGTGTTTACTCCTGTTCAGAAGTGGAAAACAGAGGGTTTAGGACAGCAGCCCTGAATTCTGGAGTGCTGTCGCTTGGGGGGAGTTTTGGGAATCTGTGGGGGTCGTTTTCAGTTGTCACAGTGGACGTCCTAGGGTGCTACCAAAGCCTTTAGGTTGCTGGGATCAGGGACAGTAAAAGTTTCACAGTGGCTAGGCGAGGTGGCTCACGCCTGTAATCCCAACACTTTGGGAGGCTGACGCAGGCGGATTACAGGTCAGGTGATCAAGACCATCCTGACTAACACCGTGAAACCCCATCTCTACTAAAAAACTACAAAAAATTAGCCAGGCGTGGTGGCACGTGCCTGTAGTCCCAGCTACTCGGGAGGCTGAGGCAGGAGAATCACTTGAATCCGGGAGGTGGAGGTTCCAGTCAGCTGAGATTGCACCACTGCACTCCAGCCTGGGTGACAGAGCGAGACTCTGTCTCAAAAAATAAATAAATAAATAAAGCAATATTTCAATTTTTTTTTTTTTGAGACAGAGTCCGCTCTTGTTGCCCAGGCTGGTGTGCAATGGCACAACTCGGCTCACTGCAACCTCCGCCTCCCAGGTTCAAGCGATTCTCCTGCCTCAGCCTCCCGAGTAGCTGAGATTAGAGGCATGCGTCACCATGTCCAGCTAATTTTGTATTTTTAGTAGAGACAGGGTTTCTCCATGTTGGTCAGGCTGGTCTCGAACTCCTGACCTCAGGTGACCGCCCGCCTCGGCCTCTTAAAGTGCTGGGATTACAGGCATGAGCCACCACACCCGGCCCTAATTTTGTATTTTTAGTAGAGATGGAGTTTCACCATGTTGGCCAAGCTGGTCTCGAACTTCTGACCTCAAGTGATCCACCTGAATTGGCCTCCCAAAATGCTGGGATTACAGGTGTGAGCCACCTCACCCAGCTCATTCCCGTTACTTTGGAACATCTGTGGGACATTCACGGAGGTGGAGGGTCTGTTTCTAAGCCTCTGAGTTCCAAATCTGCTTTGCATGTTTTATGACAGCTCACCTCCCCACTCCCCTGCCCCACCCTGCTGCTTGCTTCCGTGTGCTTAATCATGGTGGACCAGGTCTTTGTTCTGTTGCCAGGCTCCGTCCACATTCTGGGCTGGGCTGGGCTGATTGCTGCCTCGTGGTGTTGCTTCACTGGCAACTTTATCCTCCTGTTTTCTGCAGGCTGGTGGTTACAGTGAGAAGCTTGATCTGATTTTTTTTCTTTTTTTTTTGTTTTTGTTTTAAAGGAAGCTCCGTAGCTGGTAGTTAGCCTCCTGCTGCTTCGCTGAAGCTGGGGAGTGGCTGCTGTTTTCTCTTTCCTTGCGTGTTAGGACTGCTGGGAGCTTGGGCGGTGCCTGCTTCTTCTTAGTAAAATTCCTCATCCTTCCTTCCTTCCTTCCTTTATTTATTTATTTATTTATTTATTTATTTATTTTGGGGACAGAGTTTCACTCTCGTTGCCCAGGCTGGAGTACAACGGCGTGATCTCAGGTCACTGCAACCTCCGTCTACCAGGTTCCAGCGATTTTCCTGCCTCGGCCCCCTGAGTAGGTGAGATTACAGGTGCAGCCACCACGCCTGGCCAATGTTTGTATTTTAGTAGAGACGGGGTTTTGCCCTGTTGGCCAGGCCGGTCTCGAACTCCAGACCTCTAGTGATCCATTCACCTTGGCCTCCCCAAGTGCTGGGATTACAGGCCTGAGCCACCACATCGTGTCCATCTCTACTTAAAAAAAAAAAAAAAAGTTTAAAGGCAGGGCGCAGTGGCTCATGCCCCCGCCCACGCCGCCGTCTCTATACTGCCTTCCTGGAAGTCTTCCTGTCTGCCTGGAGCAGAGTGGGGGCCCTTTTCTGTCCTGGGCATCCTACCACAGTTCCAAAAGGAAAACCCCCGGGGACCAGGATGGGGGATGAAACCTTGACCTGCCTCTCTTCCCTACCCCTATGGCTGGGCTTGGGGTGCCTGATTCAGTTGGAGGAGCTCCAGGTGGATAACAAGATGGACTTCCTGGCAGGCCCTGGGGAAGAGGGAGGGGCTCCGGGCTCACTTCCCTCCCTAAGCCCAGCAGCACCTGCTCTGGAAAGCCCAGTAGATCCTGGGCGGGGTTTGCCGGTCACGGATGCTGGAAGGGTTCCTTTGGCCCTGAGTAAAGGGAGAGACCCAGAGGGAGCACTGAGTTGCCAGCAGAGCCACCCTGATTCCTTCAGCAGGACCCGGTGAGAGCAGGTGAGGGGCTCCTCGCCCACCCGGCGGCACACACACCAGTGCACACATGCCCAGGCAGGGAGCAGGGGGTGTGGGAAGTGGACTCGCTGTGCACTCGAGGGCCTCTGGTCCCCTCTGGATGCACTCCCAACTCAGAGCCTCCAGGACGGGAGGGTCCCTCCCTCGGCAGTCAGGCCCCCCTCCAACCCACCTGCCGCCCTCCTTAGCTCCCTCCCCACTTCCTTCCCGGCGGATCTGTTTCTAGAGCTCCAGCCACCACCTCCCTCCCCTTCTCCAGCCCCGGCCACCAGCTCCTTCCTTGTCTCCCTCCCCTCAGCAGTTTCCAGGAACCACCCTGGCAGTAAAGGTGCAAGTGGCTCGGGCACAGCTGTTGGTGACCCGACTTTCCTGGCCCCACCGTGGAGGGTACTCCCTCGGACCCGTAGATCCCCAGAGTCTTCACGGACCCCAAGCTATGGGTCTCACCTTCACGCTCTGCCCTCGCTCAGGGAGGCAGTTCTGTTGCTCCCGCACTCCCTGATCCCGCTCTGAATCGCTACTTCTGTGATTCAAACCCCACCGCCGGAGAATAAAGGTGGGATTTGCAAGTCATGGCCCCACATTTTTTGTCTGAAGCTCCCTTCTCCTCCCCAGAGTGGAAGTGATCTTGCCGGGAATCTGGGAATCCCGGGGAAGTGCTGGAGGAGAGTGGGCTCCGGCGGCGTCGGGGTGCCACTGAGCAGGGCGTGCGGAGCTGCCCGGGGCGGGGGCGGGTAGGGGTGGAGAAAGGCTCTCAGAGCTGGGGGACAGGACGGGGCCCCAGGTGAGCAGAGAGCTGGGTTATTTCACGTGAACAGCTGGTAACTAAGCCGGAGGGGTGTGCGGGGGCCAGGCCAGAGGCTGGGATTCTGTCTTAGGGATATGGGGAACCCTGGAGGGGATGTGAGTTGGGGCGGGGCAGGGCCGGCGCTGGGTGTAGGGGATAGAGGGGAGAGGAGGAGGCCAGGCTGGAATCGAAAGACGTGGACGGGCGGCACAAAGAATCCAAAAGAAGTGATCTAGGCCGGGCGTGGTGGCTCACACTGTAATCCCAGCACTTTGGGAGGCCAAGACAGGAGGATCACTTGAGGTCAGGGGTTCGAGACCAGTCTGGCCAACGTAGTGAAACCCCATCTCTACTAAAAATACAAAAGTTGGCCGGTTGTGATGGCACGCACCTGTAATCCTAGCGACTCGGGAGGCTGAGGCATGACAGCAGTTTGAACCCGGGAAGCAGCGTTCCCGTGAGTTCCAGTGAGTCAAGATGGTGCCACTGCACTCCAGCCTGGGCAACAGAGTGAGGCTCCATCTCAAAAAAAAAAAAAAAGAAGAAAAAGGAAGAGACCTATAGATTTTAGTGACCCCAGTCCTCTGACAGAATTGGTGGCCGGGCCCCTGCTTCGAAACTGGGGCCCTGACCGGGTGTGGTGGCTCACGCCTGTAATCTTAGTACTTTGGGAGGTAGAGGTGGGTGGATCATGAGGTCAGGAGTTCAAGACCAGCCTGACCAACATGGTGAAACCTCATCTCTACTAAAAGTACAAAAAGCTTGCCAAGTGTGGTGGTGTGCACCTGTAATCCCAGCTACTCAGGAGGCTGAGGCAGGAGAATTGCTTGAACCCAGGAGGTGGAGGTTGCAGTGAGCTGAGATCGAGCCACTGCACTCCAGCCTGGTTGACAGAGTGAGACTCCATCTCAAAAACAAAAAAAAAGAGAGAAATCAGGGCCCCTTTCCATTCTGGCATCCTAACCACAATCTTCCAAGGGAAGATCCCCCAGGACACCCGGATGGAGGAAGAGCCCTTGACCTCCCTTTCTCCTCTGCCCCTATGGCCCAGCCTGAGGTGTCTGATGCAGCTGTAGGAACTGAGGGCAGATAACAAGAAGGACTTCCTGACCTCAGAGGACTGGGGAAACCCCAAGCTCTCCCCTCTACCAGAAGCCCTACTGCCCTGGATTCCACTCTGGCTGTTGGCATTTCTCAAGATTTCCCCTCAGGCCCCTGGTAGCTGCTTTTCCAATTGCCCCCTGCCATCTCAGCACCTCCTCGGCCCGCCATATCCCTGGGCCACCCCCTTGCTCACCTGAGCCCCTGCCAGCCACAGGGCCAGTCTCTGAGCCTGTTTCCTTTGCTGTGAAATGGACATAGTGTCACCTACTTGGGTTTTTTGTTGTTGTTGCTTTGGGGTTTTTTGAAACAGCGTCTCACTCTGTTGCCCAGGCTGGAACATAGTGGCAGGATCTTGGCTCACTGCAGCCTCAACCTCCCTGATCTCAGGTGATCCTCCCCACTTAGCCTCCTGAATAGCTGGGCCTACAGATGCACACCAGCACTCTTGTTTAATTTTTTTTTGAGATGGAATTTTGCTTTTTATTGCCCAGTCTGGAGTGTAATGGTACGACCTTGGCTCACTGCAACTTTGCTTCCTGGATTCAAGCAGTTCTCCTGCCTCGGCCTCCCAAAGTGCTGGGATTACAGGCATGAGCCACTGTACCTGGCTCATGGAATTTTTGTTTGCTGTTTTTGTAAAGACAGGGTTTCCCCATGTTGCCCAGGCTGGTCTTGAACTCCTGAACTTAAGTGATTTGTCCATCTTGGCCTCCCAAAGCACTGGGATTACAGGTGTGAGCTACCACTCCTGGATAGGGCTGTTGTTTGTTTTTGTTATTTTTGTTGGTTTTTTTTTTTTTTNTTTTTTTTTGAGAGGGAGTCTCACTCTGTCACCCAGGCTGGAGTGCAATGGCATCATCTCGGCTCACTACAGCATCCACCTCCTAGGTTCAAGTGATTTTCCTGCCTCAGCCTCCCGAGTAGCTGGGATTACAGGCAACTGCCACCACATCCCGCTAATTTTGTATTTTTAGTAGAGATGGGGTTTCACCATCTTGGCCAGGCTGGTCTCGAACTCTTGACCTTGTGATCTGCCCACCTGGGTTTCCTGAAGTGCTGGGATTACAGGTGTGAGCTACCGCGCCCTGTCAGGGCTGTTGTTAAAACTCAGTAAGATAGGCTAGGTATGTGGTGGCTCACACCTGTAATCCCAGCACTTTAGAGGCTGAGGAAGGAGGCTGAGACCAGGAGTTTGAGATCAGTTTGGGCCACATAGCAGGATGACCCCCTCACACACACACCAATCCTACAAAAAATCAACTCAAAAAAGTGATGCCTTCAGGCAGACTGTCGGTGGTACTTTGTTCAAGCCTGAAATAAGTGTGAGTTTGGAAGATCAATTCTGTTCTGAATACCAGAGACAGCCCATGTCATAGAGCATTTCTATTTGATTGATTGATTGAACGAACGGAATCTTGCTCTGTTGCCAGGCTAGAGTGCAGTGGCGCGATCTCGGCTCACTGCAACCTCCACCTCCTGGGTTCAAGCACCTCCCGCCTCAGCCTCCTGAGTAGCTGGGATTACAGGCACACGCCAGCACACCCAGCTCATTTTTGTATTTTTAGTAGAGACGGGGTTTCACCATGTTAGCCAGGATGGTCTCGATCTCTTGACTTCGTGATTTGCCTGCCTTGGCCTCCCAAAGTGCTGGGATTACAGGGGTGAGCCACCGTGCCCAGCTGTCATAGAGCATTTCCCTTTGTGCCCACCCAGCCCCCAAGGGAGGTGTTGTTTGTTGTGGTGGTGGTTTTTTTGGAGATAGAGTCTCACTGTGTCACCCAGGCTGGAGTGCAGTGGTGTGATCTCAGCTCACTGCAACCTCCAGGGGGGTGTAGCTTTTATCGTTCCTCCAAACCCCCGTTGATGGACAGACGAGGTAAAAGCCCTGGGTCAGAGTGACACAGTGCATAAGAGGTTCCTGACCACACCCCGCAAGGCATCTAGCCAAACCTCAGCAATTCACAGTCTCACTGAGCAGCTCGCCTTGCTCTCCAACTCTTCCTTCTCCCCTTGCGGGCTCCAGTCAAGGTCAGTGCCCAGCTTCCTGCTCTGGGACACTCAGCAGCCACCCCCTCCTTCCTGGGTGAGGAAGGGAGGGAACTACCGAGGAGGCAGGGACATCCTTGTAGAACATTCTGCTTTATTTATTTATTATTTATTTGAGACAGAGTCTGACTCTGTTGCCCAGGCTGGAGTGCAGTGAGGCAATCTCATCTCACTGCAACCTCCACCTCCCGGGTTCAAGCAATTCTCCTGCCTCAGCCTCCTGAGTAGCTGGGATTACAGGCACATGCCACCACGCCTGGGTCATTTGTTGTATTTTTAGTAGAGACGGGGTTTCACTATGTTGGCCAGGCTGAACACATATACCCTTATATGTACACAGTATATATACACCCATACACTCCCACGCACACATGTCCATTTGCGCACACCTGTACATGCATGCAGTGTATGGATCCCCATACCCACATCACACACAATGCAAACACATCCACCTGTGTACACACACCACCTTGAACACAGTGTATGCACATCTGTATAAACACACTCCAGGCCAGGCATGGGGACTCCTGAGGCGGGCAGATCACCTGAGGTCAGGAGTTTGAGACCAGCCTGACCAACATGGAGAAACCACATCTCTACTAAAAATACAAAATTAGCCAGGCGTGGTGACACATTCCTATAACCCCAGCTACTTGGGAGGCTGAGGCAGAATTGCCTTGAACATGGGAGGTGGAAGTTGCGGTGAGCAGAGATCGCAGCGTTACACTTCAGGCTGGGCAACGAGAGCGAGACTCCATCTCAAACACACTCACACACACATGAAACACTTGCTATAAAGGAATACCAAAAACTCTCGATACCTGCCCATACACATATGCATGTGTGTGCCAAGTATTTACACACCCGAAGTAAAACCACACTCAGATGAACCCACCCAACGCCTGCGTGCCCCCTCACGGCCCGTCCCCCGGCGTCCCGGGCCTCCAGCTCTCGGCTAACATGTCCTGCTTTCCCCCCCACCCCGACAGCCATGCCGACCAGCCAGGTGACTTTCTCCTTTCCCATGGCCCACTTCGTCCTCTTTGTCTTTACGGCGTCCACTGTATTTCACGTTCAGCAGCGGCTAGCAAAGATTCAAGCCACGTGGGAGTTACAGGAGCAGATGCCAGTGCAGGCCTCAATGTCAGAGACGCTGGGACCCAGCCAGCCCAGGGGCATGTGGACGATCAATGCCATAGGCCGCCTGGGGAACCAGATGGGCGAGTACGCCACGCTGTACGCCCTGGCCAAGCTGAATGGGCGGCCCGCCTTCATCCCGGCCCAGATGCACAGCACCCTGGCCCCCATCTTCAAGATCACGCTGCCGGTGCTGCACAGCACCACGGCCAGCAGCATCCGCTGGCAGAACTACCACCTGAACGACTGGATGGAGGAGGCGTACCGCCACATCCCGGGGGAGTACGTCCGCCTCACGGGCTACCCCTGCTCCTGGACCTTCTACCACCACCTCCGCCACGAGATCCTCCAGGAGTTCACCCTGCACGACCACGTGCGCGAGGAGGCCCAGAGTTTCCTGCGGGGCCTGCGGTTGAATGGGAGCCAGCCGGGCACCTTTGTGGGGGTCCACGTGCGCCGGGGGGACTACGTCCACGTCATGCCACAGGTGTGGAAGGGGGTGGTGGCCGACCGGCGCTACCTTGAGCAGGCCCTGGACTGGTTCCGGGCTCACCACAGCTCCCCCATCTTCGTGGTCACCAGCAACGGCATGCCTTGGTGTCGGCAGAACATCGACGCCTCCCGCGGCGACGTGGTGTTTGCTGGCAATGGCATCGAGGGCTCACCCGCCAAAGACTTTGCACTGCTCACGCAGTGTAACCACACCATCATGACCATTGGGACGTTCGGGATCTGGGCTGCCTACCTCGCTGGCGGGGACACCATCTACCTGGCCAATTACACCCTCCCCAACTCCCCTTTCCTCAAAATCTTTAAGCCGGAGGCAGCCTTCCTGCCAGAGTGGATGGGGATCGCTGCAGACCTGTCCCCCTTACTCAACCACTGATGCTGGCCTTGCCTTTGAAATCCTGTCTCCTTCTCTGGCTCCCACAAGATGAGCGCTAGGGCATGAGAGCTGTTCCATGAACAGGACCCTCCTCTCTTCTGTGAAGATGCTTTGGGCTGCAAGTAACAGAAATCATGAACAATGGCTGGGAGCCGTGGCTCACGCCTGTAATCCCAGCGCTTTGGGAGGCTGAGGCGGGTAGGTCTCTTGAGGTCAGGAGTTCAAGACCAGCCTGGCCAACATGGTGAAAGCCTATCTCTACTAAAAATACAAAAA